GATAAGTGACCTGGAAGACAGAGTGGTGGAATTCACTGCCGTGGAACAGAATAAAGAAAAAAGAATGAAAAGAAATGAAGAGAGCCTAGGAGACCTCTGGGACAACATTAAACGTAACAACATTCACATGATAGGGGTCCCAGAAGGAGAAGCGAGAGAAAAAAGACACAAGAAAATATTTGAAGAGAGTATAGTAGAAAACTTCCCTAACATGGGAAAGGAAATAGCCACCCAAGTCCAGGAAGCACAGTGAGCCTGATACAGGATAAAGCCAAGGAGAAACACGCCAAGACACATAGTAATCAAAATGGCAAAAATTAAAGACATTATTGAAAGCAGCAAGGGAAAAATGACAAATAACATACAAGGGAACTCCCATAAGGTTAACAACTGGTTTCTCAGCAGAAACTCTACAAGCCAGAAGGGAGTGGCATGACATATTTAAAGTGATGAAAGGGAACACACTACAACCAAGATTACTCTACCAAACAAGAATCTCATTCAGATTGGAGGGAGAAATCAAAAGCTTTACAGACAAGCAAAAGCTAAGAGAATTCAGCACCACCAAACCAGCTCTACAACAAATGCTAAAGGAACTTCTCTAAGTGAGAAACACAAGACAAGAAAAGGATCTACAAAAACAAATGCAAAACAATTAAAAAAATGGTAACAGGAACATACATATCAATAATTACCTTAAACGTGAACAGATTAAATGGTCCAACCAAAAGACACAGGCTCACTGAATGGATACAAAAACAAGGCCCATATATATGCTGTCTACAAGAGACCAACTTCAGACCTAGGGACACATACAGACTGAAAGTGAGGGGATGGAAAAAGATATTCCATGCAAATGGAAATCAAAAGAAAGCTGAAGTAGCAATACTCATATCAGATAAAATAGACTTTAAAATAAAGAATGTTACAAGAGACAATGAAGGACACCACATATTCATCAAGGGATCAACCCAAGAAGAAGATATAACAATTATAAATATATATGCACCCAACATAGGACCACCTCAATATATAAGGCAACTGCTAACAGCTATAAAAGAGGATATAGACAGTAACACAGTATAGAGGGGGACTTTAACACCTCACTTACACCAATGAACAGATCATCCAAACAGAAATACTAAGGAAACAGAAGCTTTAAATGACACAATAGACCAGATAGATTTAATTGATATTTATAGGGCATTCCATCCAAAAACATCAGATTACACTTTCTTCTCAAGTGCGCATGGAACATTCTCCAGGATAGATCACATCTTGGGTCACAAATCAAGCCTCAGTAAATTTAAGAAAATTGAAATCATATCAAGCATCTTTTCTGACCACAACGCTATGAGATTCGAAATGAATTACAGGGGAAAAAACGTAAAAAACACAAACACGTGGAGGCTAAACAATACGTTATTAAATAACCAAGAGATCACTGAAGAAATCAAAGAGGAAGTAAAAAAATACCTAGAGACAAATTACAATGAAAACACGATGATCCAAAACCTGTGCGATGTAGCAAAAGCAGTTGTAAGAGGGAAGTTTATAGCTATACAAGCCTACCTCAAGAAACAAGAAAAATCTCAAATAAACAATCTAACCTTACACCTAAAGGAACTAGAGAAAGAACACACAAAACCCAAAGTTAGTAGAATGAAAGAAATCATAAAGATCAGAGCAGAAATAAATGAAATAGAAACAAAGAAAACAATAGCAAAGATCAATAAAACTAAAAGCGGGTTCTTTGAGGAGATAAACAAAATTGATAAACCTTTGGCCAGACTGATCAAGAAAAAGGAGAGGACTCAAATCAATAAAATTAGAAATGAAAAAGGAGAAGTTACAACAGACACCGCAGAAATACAAAGCATCCTAAGAGACTACTACAAGTAACTCTATGCCAATAAAATGGACAACCTGGAAGAAATGGACAAATTCTTAGAAAGGTATAACTTCCAAGACTGAATCAGGAAGAAATAGAAAATATGAACAGACCAATCACAAGTAATGAAATTGTAACTGTGATTAAAAATCTTCCAACAAACAAAAGTCCAGGACCAGATGGCTTCACAGGTGAATTCTATCAAACATTTAGAGAAGAGCTAACACCCAGCCTTCTCAAACTCTTCCAAAAAATTGCAGAGGAAGGAACACTCCCAATCTCATTCTATGAGGCCACCATCACCCTGATACCAAAACCAGACAAAGATACTACAAAAAAAGAGAATTACAGACCAGTATCACTCATGAATATAGATGCAAAAATTCTCAACAAAATACTAGCAAACAGAATCCAACAACACATGAAAAAGATTGTACACCATGATCAAGTGGGATTTATCCCAGGCATGCAAGGATTCTTCAATATACACAAATCAATCAATGTAATACGCCATATTAACAAATTGAAGGATAAAAACCATATGGTCATCTTAATAGATGCAGAAAAAGCTTTTGACAAAATTCAACACCCATTTATGATAAAAACTCTCCAGAAAGTGGGCATAGAGGGAACCTTCCTCAACATAATAAAGGCCACATATGACAAACCCACAGCAAACATCATTCTCAATGGTGAAAAACTGAAAGCATTTCCTCTAACATCAGGTACAAGACAAGGAGGTCCACTCTCACTACTATTATTCAACATAGTTTTGGAGGTCCTAGCCACAGCAGTCAGAGAAGAAAAAGAAATAAAAGGAATACAAATTGGAAAAGAAGAAGTAAAACTGTCACTGTTTGTAGATGACATGATACTATACATAGAGAATCCTAAAGATGCCACCAGAAAACTGCTAGAGCTAATCAATGAATTTGGTGAAGTTGCAGGGTATAAAATTAATGCACAGAAATCTCTTGCATTCCTATACACTAATGATGAAAAATCTGAAAGAGGAGATATGAAGGAAACACTCCCATTCACCATTGAAACAAAAAGAATAAAATACCTAGGAATAAACCTACCTAGGGAGACAAAAGACCTGTATGCAGAAAACTATAAGACACTGCTGAAAGAAATTAAAGATGATACAAACAGATGGAGAGATATACCATGTTCTTGGATTGGAACAATCAGTATTGTGAAAATGACTATACTACCCAAAGCAATCTACAGATTCACTGCAATCTCTATCAAATTACCAATGGCATTTTTTACAGAACTGGAACAAAAAAATCTTAAAATTTTTATGGAGACACAAAAGACCCCAAATAGTCAAAGCAGTCTTGAGGGGAAAAAACGGAGCTGGAGGAATCAGACTCCCTGACTTCAGACTATACTACAAAGCTACAGTAATCAAGACAATATGGTACTGGCACAAAAACAGAGATATAGATCAATGGAACAGGATAGAAAGCCCAGAGATAAACCCATGCACCTATGGTCAACTAATCTATGACAAAGGAGGCAAGGATATACAATGGAGAAAAGACAGTCTCTTCAATAAGTGGTGGTGGGAAAACTGGACAGCTACATGTAGAAGAATGAAATTAGAACACTCCCAAACACCATACACAAAAGTAAACTCAAAATGGATTAGAGACCTAATTGTAAGATTGGACACTGTAAAACTCTTAGAGGAAAACATAGGAAGAATACTCTTTTTTTTTTTTGCGGTACACGGGCCTCTCACTGTTGTGGCCTCTCCCGTTGCAGAGCACAGCCTCCGGACACGCAGGCTCAGCGGCCGTGGCTCACGGGCCCAACCACTCCGCAGCATGTGGGATCCTCCCAGACCGGGTCACGAACCCATGTCCTCTGCATTGGCGGGCAGACTCTTAACCACTGCACCACCAGGGAAGCCCAGGAAGAACACTTTTTGATGTAAATCATAGCAAGATCTTTTTTTGATCCACCTTCTGGAGTAATGGAAATAAAAATAAAAATAAACAAATGGGACCTACTGAAACTTAAAAGCTTTTGCGCAGCAAAGGAAACTACAACCAAGACGAAAAGACAACCCTCAGAATGGCAGAAAATATTTGCAAATGAATCAACAGACAAAGGATTAATCTTGAAAATATATAAACAGCTCATGCAGCTCAATATTAAAAAAAAAAAACCCAATCCCAAAATGGGCAGAAGAACTAAATAGACATTTCTCCAAAGAAGACATACAGATGGCCAAGAAGCACATGAAAAGCTGTTCAACATCACTAATTTTAGAGAAATGCAAATCAAAACTACAATGAGGTATCCCCTCACACCAGTTAGAATGGGCATCATCAGAAAATCTACAAACAACAAATGCTGGAGAGGGTGTGGAGAAAAGGGAACCCTCTTGCACTGTTGGTGGGAATGTAAATTGATACAGCCACTATGGAGAACAATATGGAGGTTCCTTAAAAAATTAAAAATAGAATTACCATACGACCCAGCAATCCCACTACTGGGCATATACCCAGAGAAAACCATAATTCAAAAAGAGTCATGCACCACAATGTTAATTGCAACACTATTTACAATAGCCAGGTCATGGAAGCAACCTAAATGCCCATTGACAGATGAATGGATAAAGAAGAGGTGGTACATATATACAATGGAATATTACTCAGCCATAAAAAGGAACAAAATTGGGTCATTTTTAGAGACGTGGATGAATCTAGAGAGTGTCATACAGAGTGAAGTAAGTCCGAAAGAGAAAAACAAATGTCATATATTAACGCATATATGTGGAACCTAGAAAAATGGTACAGATGAACTGATTTGCAGGGCAGAAATTGAGACAGAGATGCAGAGAACAAACTTATGGACACCAAGGGGAGAAAGTGGCATTGATATTGGGATTGATATATATATACACTAATATGTATAAAATGGATAACTAATGAGAACCTGCTACATAAAAAAAAAGAAAATTAAAAAAAAATCACATTAAATAAGACATTGGTTTTTCTTTCTCCCTCTAATGAGATTTGTTTGAGTAGGAGTCATCTAATGTAATCATATTTGTTAAACATTCTCTTTGAATTAATTATCTGGTATTTGTTAGTTCTTTTTCTAGGAAGAGAATTCAAGATCTTTCTAGGCCTAAGAAACAATGGGGAGCCCCAGATAGGTAAGGCAATATTATGTAGTCTTGTGTGTGATGATGTATTCCTTACATTAAGTAGGTAAGTATTATTCTTACCTGTCCACTAACTGGATCCACTGAATCAATATTTTCACCTCAGTTGAGTCAACACATAGAAGGCAAACCCTAGGTCATTGATTCTCAAATTTGACTGCACACTGCAATCACCTGGAAAATTTTCAAACTGACTGATGCTTGAGTCCTGTTCCCAGAAATCCTGACTCATTTGGCCTAGGGTGCAGCATAGGCTTCAGGAGTGTTAAAAGCTCCCCAGATGATTCCAATACGCAGACAGGTTTGAGAACCACTGTCCCAGGGCATTATTCCACACTCACGTGAAACACTTGTGTCTATCCTCCAATTTCAACTTTGTTGCTTCTAACAGCTGGTCCTGCTGTCTCTAAGCCTCTGCCTAGAGCATACCTGTGTTCTAGATTTCCAGCAGGCTGGACCCACTGTCTTTCCACTTTTGGTCACAGGACTTCCCCTTTTCTTTTTTGGCTCCTGAGTGAAGCCTGATTTTTTTTTTCTTTTGTCTGATCTCCTATTGCTTTTTTATTTTTTTAATTAATAGATTTTATTTTTTAAAGCAGTTTTAGATTTACAGAAAAACTCAACAGAAGTACAGAGAAGTACGGAGAAAGTTTCTATATTACCACCCACTAGTTTCCCCTGTTATTAACATTATTATCTTGCATTAATGTGATACACTTGTTACAATTAATGAATGAATATTGACACATTATTATTCACAAAAGTCTGTAGTTTACATTAGGGTTCACTTTTTGTTTTGTACAGTTCTATGGGTCTTGACAAATGCATAATGTCATATATTCATTACTACATTATTATACAGAATAGTTTCAGTGCCCTAAAAATTACTTGTGCTCCACTTATAGATCCCTTCCCTCTCTCCCTCTTCTTCAGACCCCTGGTGACCACTGATCTTTTAACTATATCTATAGTTTTACATTTTCCAGAATGCCATATAATGTTGGAATTGTACAATGTGTAAATTTTTCAGACAGGCTTCTTTCACTTAGAAATATGCATTTAGGGTTCCTCCATGGCTTTCATTTCAGTAGCAATTTCTTTTTAGCATTGAGTAATATTCTGTAGTCTGGATGTACCATAGTTTATCTGTTCACCTACTGAAGGACATGTTGGTTGGTTCTGATTTTTGGCAGTTTTGAATAAAGTTGCTATAAATATTCATATGCAGGTTTTGTGTAGATACAAGTTTTCACCTCATTTGGGTAAATACCTAGGAGTGCAATTACTGGATCATATGGTAAGAATATGATCTTAGCTTTGTCAGAAACTACGAAACTGTCTTCCAGAGTGTCTGCACTATTCCCACCAGCAATGAATGAAAGTTCCTGTTGCTCCACAGTGTCATCAGTGGTTTATATTTTAGCCCTTCTAATAGGTGTGTAGTGCTATCTCATTATTTTAATTTGCAATTCCGTAATGACATGATGATGAGCGTATTACATATGCTTATTTGCCATCTGTATATTGTCTTTTGTAAAGTGTCTATTCAGATCTTTTGCCCACTGATCGGGTTGTTTTCTTATTGTTGAATTTTAAGAGTACTTTGTATATTTTGAATACCAGTATTTTATCAGATGATATAGACTGAATGTTTATGTCCCCTTAAAATTTATATGTTGAAATCCCAACCCCCAGTGTGATGGTATTTGGAGGTGGGGCCTTTGGGAGTTGATTAGGTCTGACCACCTGGTACAGTGCTTTACCCAAACTGGGAGCACAGTGTAGATAAGTGGCATGCCCATTTTTTGCTGACCTGACTATAAATTACAGTGTTAATTACATGTTGGCAGAAATAGAACTATCTCTAATAGGTTCATTTTTGGTCAGCATCTTTTAAGACAGTAGATAAAACAGTCTTGTTCTTATTTTAACTTCCATAAGTAGTTTATTCAGCTTCTGATGTCTGGAAACTGTAAAATTTTGTAATAGAGATAGTTCTTGAAGTGAAGTAAAATTAGTAGAGAAGGCATCAAGAGCCATTTCTAAGATGCCAATTAGCAGTGAATTTCTTACCATTATATTTTTCTGCTTTTTAACAGAAAACTGTTTTGGGGAAATCAAGATCCTATTCGCCCTGTTTCCCGGAATGCTTTGAAGGCTCAACTGACCAAAAGACTTGAGAACCTTGCCCAGCCTAAGGAAGTCTCCCACGGATATGTACCTAACAGGTTAGTATTTGTGTGTTATCAGGAACACAAAATTTATTGGGGATTAGGGATTCTATATCTGTTTCCAATCTGATGCTACAGTAAAACTTTTCCAGAGCAACATCTAATATTTAGCTGTTGCAGACTTGTATTATATTTTATAGTGTCTTGGCTTATCACAATTTTGATTTTTTAATAAAATAAGGGTAGTATGCAAGGATATGTACCATATATAACACTGTTGTGGATGAACTTATTTGTGCATGAAACTGTGAATTTTGTATACCACCCATGGGCGTGGTTACCATAAGTTAATTAGGGCATCTAAAGGTAATAATGTTAAGACTTTTGACGCCCATTGCAAATTTGTTTTTGGTGCATGTTGAATGACTGGACTTTCTGCTGGTTGGCTCTTTGAGGAAAGATGGTGAGGTGTAGGGAAGATGGGTACAGGCAGTGAGGGAGGTTAAAGTAAAGAAAAAAGTGAAGATGCTATTATTTATCTGAAGTTTGGTTTCCATGATAATTGAGGTAGCCATTTCTCTCCTCTTTCACTATACAACTTTAGTCAAAAGTCAGCAAACTTTTTCTGGAAGGGGCCAGATATAAAGTTGGCCATTAAATACCTGCAACTCTGGGAAAGCAGCTACAGACATGTGTAAACCGAGAATGCCTGTGTTCCAATAAAATTTTAGAATTTTTGCATCTGTGTTCATGAGGGATATTGGTCTGCAGTTTTCTTGTAATACCTTTGTTTTTTGTAATGTCTTTGTTTATGGCAATGCTGTCCTCATAGAATCAATCGGAAAATGTATAGAATTGGTATTTATTACTTCTTCTCTGTGGGCTCCAATTACACATTAGGCTGCTTGGATTTGTCCTACAGCTCATTGAATCTGTTCTCTTTCCCTCTCTTTCTGTTTTATTTCTCTCTGTGTTTTCACTAGCCATTTTCTCTGTAGTGTATAATATACTATTAATCCTATCCAGGGTAATTTTTATTTCATGTGTCATAGTTTTTATCACTAGAAGTTCAATTTGGGTATTTTTTATATCTCATCTCTACTTGCTCAATTTTTTAATCTCCTTGCCTACTAATTCTATACTATGTCATTTGTGGGTCTGTTTCTAGGGATTGATTTTTCTCATTATTGGTAATAATTTGCTGCTTTTATATGTTTGCTGCTTTTTTATATGTTGGAAATGCTTATGCTATAATATTAAGTGAAAAAAATTAAATAGAAAACTGTATTATGATATGATCCTCTTTTTATTTTTAATAATGTTTATTCATCAAACATGTCATGATCTTTACCATCTCAAGACCTTATTCATATTTCTCCCTCTGCCTGCAGTGCTTACAATGACTAAGACTTTCTGGTCCTTAAGTCTCAGCATAGGTCTCAGCTTTTCAGAGGGACTTTCCTGACTGCTCTTCTCCATATAACATTCCACCTCCTCACAGACCTACTCGGAAAGCCTCTATCTCTGTTGCATAGTCAATGCCCTTCATAGCACTTATCACAACTATCTACCGAATTTTTGCTATTCTCCTCCCAACATAGAGAAGAAGCTCCAGGAAAGCAGTGATTGTGTCTGTCTTACTTTCTGCTCTCTCCTTAGTGCCTAACAGTGCCTGGTGTTCAATAAGTATTGAGTGTATGAGTCAGGAAATATTTTTCTAAAGTATTGTTGTCTCTGAATGGCAGGATAATATATGCTTTTTGTTTTTCTCTCTTAAACTTTTCTTGCTCTTACAAAGTTTCTATAATGAATATTTATCTCTTTTACAATGAGAAAAATGCAGAGTACTCTATATTAAAATAATATTTGAGTACCTGCTACATTGATGGAATGGTGAGACTTGGATGTGTGAATGACTACAAGACAAGAGAAGCACCTAAAGGCAGCAGCTATACATTCTATTAATATACAGTATCTATAAGCAGAAAAGATATGTACACATGAAATTTAGAATTAATATACAAGTTAGTTAATAAAATTTTATTTGAATAGTGCTTTGTAACTTAATAAAATGACTTATATTCTCTTATTTAATTTTCCTAACCACCATAAGATGTATTATTTTCTCCATCTTCTAGAACACTCATGTACTTCTAGTTGTTGGCAGACTAAGGCATAAGTATTATGGTTTGGTGTTAACCACTCCCACCTCAGAGAATGTTGAATAATTGAGTTATGTCTCTGGTGTCCTCCCATCTTTCTTCTTCTTCTTCTTTTTTTTGGGTTTTTTTTTTTGTTTGTTTGTTTTATTTGCTTCTTGGACTTCTACCCTTTGCCCTACTCTCCAAGAGCATCTTACCTTTGTGCTGCTCACTCCTTCCTTCCACCCACTGTGCCCTCCTTTCTTGGGTCTGATCTCTTCCAAATGCCCCCCTGTTCAAAATCACCTCTTCCTTCTCTGTCTCCAATTCCCAAACTGAACTCCCAGTTCCTGCAAAAGGCAAATCCCAGGTAAGTGCTGGAGGTTCTCTGCCTGTCAGAGCTTGGCTGTGTATGTGGGTGGCAGTGGCTGAGTCAGCTCTGTCAGGCAGTAGAGCCAGGGCTGCATAGTCTCAAGGCCCTTAAAAGCAGATGTGTGATGGTATAGATGGGTCTCAAGTCTGAGTGGTCAAAAGCAAGGGAAATACAGGCTTAAACCCAGACCAAGGCTTATATTAGCAACCAGCAGACAGAAGCCTGGGCAGATGAACACAGAGCCATATCTATGAATGTCCTAAAGGAGCAGAGGTCCTTTGGAAAATAATAGAAGCAGGAGTGGGACTACGATCTAAATTAACGCCAGGTTAAAGTAGTCAATATCACTTCTTTTTCCACTAATGATAATATTTTGATAAAGGAAAGATTGACGGGCAGGAGTGATAAGAAGAACAATATTATTATCTTAAATAAAATCTTAATAAACAAAACCTGATAATGATTAAATAATCTACAAACCATGATCAAGTAGCATTTATTCCTAAGCTCAGAGGTCTTTAACATAAAGAAAACCATCATGTAATTTATCCTATTAACTAAAAATTTAGTAAAAATATTTAAATTGTCTATATAGATGCTAAAGAAAATATTTTATTTAAAAAGCAGCAAATTTTCTCTTCATCAGGGTAATTTTTGGTCTATTTAGAAAATGAACTTTATTACAGAAAATTGTCTGTTTTAGCATAGGATATTAGAAGACAGCTGAAAACTTGATGGCTTATAACTGTTTCTAATTTCTCCCTATGTAGAAAATAGCTCAGCAGCGAAGGGATAAACTGTCATATCCACTCCCCTAGACCTGGGGGGTGGGGGTCAGTGTTGGAAATTACTATGGTAGTTTGAATTCATGCCTGTTTCGTTCACTTCTTTTCTCTTTTACGACTTGCAGGGTTCAGTATTATTACAGCTGCGGTAGAGAGTCTGTAATCTGGGAGACCCCTTCTCCTGCACTGTTTTGCCAACCTTCCAAAAGGATCCAGAAGCTGGCACAGCCCAACAGATTCAAGAAAGGGTATCTAATAAATAGGTAAAGTACCTTGAGAATCTCCATAAATTCTCATCTAATTTGGTGAATGTCACAATATTGTTGTTCTAATTTTAGTGTATGCAATTTCATAAAATAGAAGTCCACTTGTGTTTCAAAGCATCAGGGTGAAAAATCAAATATTTGCAGCAATTGTGGGTAATCAGAAGATCATCATCAATAATTACATTTGACTCAAATTGTAGTGAAGCTAAAATTCACACTGAACTTACCACTGTCAGCCAATTTAAAAATATGCAAATGAAACATTACAGGTTTTTTCAATTCATGTTCTCTTACGCCTCTGTGACAGCAAATGCTCTTCCTTCTGCTTTGAATTCTGAAATTCTCCTTGTCTTTAAAAGACAGATTAGGAAATTCCCTGGTGGTCCACGGGTTAGGACTTCATGCTCTCACTGCTGAGGGCCTGGGTTCAATCCCTGCTGGGGGAACTAAAAGGCCATAAGCCACGCAGCATGGCCAAAGAAAAAAAGAGCTTAGGTGTTACTTTCCACTTGGGAGTTAAGATTGTGATAAGTTTATTGGAAAAAATGTTAGGTTGCATTAGTGGAATATGTACACTGTACACGTTCCACCAAGTGTGGAGTGTGATAGTACTACTGTACACTACTTTAATCAGAACACATTACATATATGTGTCCACTTATGGATGTTATACCTGAAGAAACTGATAATAAATTTGAGACTATTCAGAGGTGACGAATGAGATGTTGATTCTTCTGGAAGCTATGTTATATGAACAATAGTTAAGAGAAATAATACGTTTAGCTTAGAGAAGACACCTAAGTAGCAGTGATAGCTATGTTTCAAGGGTCAGCATCTGAAAGAGGAAAGGGAAGTCAAAGTAAAATTACTTAGAACTAGAAGTAGAACGAGGAATTTACAGAGCAGCTGATGTCAGCTAAGTGTAGAAAAATCTTTCTGGTAGCTATGCAGTAATGGAGGCGTTTATTTGGAAGGGTCAACTGCCAACTCCACCCAAATCCCTGAAAATGTTCAAGCACAAACTGGAATGATGACTATACATGGACTTTAGAAAAGATTCCTGTATTCAGGCATAGGTTGAACTGGACAACTTGAGTCTTTTTCCATCATAGAATCCAGCAAAAGTGGCCCAATTCCTCCACAAAATTTGCTTATTTGTCAGTTTATTAAATAAAATCTGTTAAGTTAGTTAGAATGTGCATGTAAATCTGGTAAAGATCTGTATCTATAAACTAGAAGAATACTTTAATTATCTGTTACCAATTTTTGAGACATCTGAGATTGACATTTCATATAAGTGAAACCCCCTTGAGTGCTAAAACTTCTTGTATTTTTAGAAGTTTGTTTCCCTGCTTTCCTAAGGAGATTCTTTTGAAACTGAACATACATGTAACCTTTTTCCATTGGCTTGAGATATTTATTATGAACATCAACTATCACATAATGATTTAATTTGGTAAACCTCTCAGAAAGTGTTTAAGTATGAAGTACATTGCTTAGGCTAAGTGGTCTGACCTCTTCAGATTATGATATTCACTTTTCATAGTTTTCCTGTCATTTGTCTTTTTATTGGGAGCATAGTCTCTAAGTAGCCTCTTTTCTGATCTTTTGTGCTCTGGAAACAGATAACCAAGCTTGTTCAGAATTGTATGGGGGGAAAATGCAAGTGCTTAATGAAGACACACAGGGTTGTCCAATAAATGTACTACATGAGCCTGGACTTTGTGACATATATTTTAGCTGATTCACTAGAGGGCTCAACAGTAGATTTGAGCAGTCAGAAGAAAGAATCAGCAAACTTAAAGATAGGTCAGTGAAGATGATCAAGTCTGAGGAACAGAAAGAAAAAAGAATAAAATAAAATAAACAAAGCCTCAAAGCCCTGTAAGACAGCATCGAGGGTATTAACATATTGATAATGGGAATTTCATAAAGAGAGTAGAGAGATAAAGGGGCAGAAGGAATATTTAAAGAAACAATGGCCAAAAGCTTCCCAGCTTAGATGAAAAACAACCTTCACATCCAGGTAACTCAACAAACTCCAAGTGTGATATACTCAAAAAGATCTACAACCTGACACATCATAATCAAACTGTCCACCATCAAAGACAAAGAGAGAATCTTGAAAGCAGCAAGAGAAGTGACTCATCATATGCAAAGGATCTGCAATAAGGTTAACAGGTGGCCTCTCATCAGAAACCATAGAGGCCAGAAGGCAGTGGCATGACATATTTAAAGCACTGAAAGAAAAATACTGCCAGCCAAGAATACTCTAGCTAACAAAATTATCCTTCAAAAATAAAAGAAATTAAGACATTTCCAGTTAAACAAAAACTGAGAAAATTCATCACAGCAGACCTGCTTTACAGTAAATACTAAAGGGAGTCCTTCAGGCTAAAATGAAAGGACACTAGACAATAACTTGAATTCACATGAAATAAAGAAATAAAATTGAGTTAACTACATAGGTAAATATAAAAGATAGTATACCTGTATTTTTCTGTTTGTAACCCTTTTATTCTCCTACATAATTTAAAGGACAACTGCATAGGACTTCCCTGGCAGTCCAGTGGTTAAGACTCCATGCTCCCAATGCAGGGGGCGCAGGTTCAATCCCTGATCAGGGAATGAATATCCCACATGCCGCGTGGCATGGGCAAAAAAAAAAAAAAAAGACAACTGCATAAAGCAATAATTATAAATCTGTGTTGATGGACATACAATGTATTAAAAAACAGCCCAAAGAGGGGAGGGAATGGAGTGATATTAATCTGAATTAGATTGTTATAAGTTAAGATATACAGGGTAACAACTAAGAAAATAATTTTTAAAATATAGTAAAAGAAATAACAAGGAATTTAAAGGGTACACTAGAAAATATCTAACATGGAAGAAGGGAGGAATGGAGGAATAGAGGAATAAAAAGATGTAACATGTGAAAAACAAAAGCAAAATGGCAAGCATAAGTTCCATGTTATGAGTAATTGCATTAAATGCAAATGAACTGTCCAATCAAAAGGCAGGGATTGACAGAATGGATTAAAAGAACGTACTTAGTAGTATGCTGTCTATAAGACACATACTTTAGATTCAAAGAAATATATAAGCTGAAAGGAAAAGAATGACAAAAGATATACTATGAAAACTAACTAAAGTGAGTGGATATACTCATATTGGACGATTAGACTTTAAGACAAAGAAGGACATTTTATAGTAATGAAATGGTCAATCCATTAGAGAACTATAACAATTATAAACATATATATACCTAACAACAAGAACCCAAAATAGATGAAGCAAAACCTGGTAGAATTGAAAAGAGAAATAGATAATTCAACAAGTTCAGTTTTTCAATACTGTACTTTCAATAATAGAAAGAATAACAAGCAGAAGATCAACAAGGAAATAGAAGGCTTGAACAATACTATAAACCAAAAATATCTAATTGACATTTATAGGACACTATACCCAACAATAGCAGAACACACATTCTTCTCAAGTGCACATGGAATATTCTCTAGGATAGATCATGTATTAGGTCATAAAACAAATGTCAATAAATTTATAAGAATTGAATTCATAAAAAATCTGTTCTCTGACCACAGTGATGAAATTAGGAACCAATAGCAGAAGAAAAAATTTAAATATGTGTAATTAAATACACTCCTAAACAAACAATGGGTCAAAGAATAACTCACTTTGATATTAATAAAATGAAAACAATATACCAAAACTTATGAGATACAGCTAAGGTAGTGATTAGTGGGACATTTTAGCTGAAGATACCTACATAAAAAATAAAAAAGATTGCAAATTGTAACCTAATCTTCCATCTTAAGAGATTACAAATGGAAAAGCAAACTAATTAAAACAAGCAGAAAGAAGGAAATTATAAAGATTAGTGTGGAAATGAATAGAAACCAGAAAGACAGAGAAAATCAACAAAACTGAAAGTTGGCTCTTTGAAAAGATCAACAAAACAAACCTTTGGCTAGACTTATCAAGACAACAAGACAGAAGGCTCAAATTACTAAAATCATGAAAGAAAGAAGGGACCTTTCTAAGGAATCATTTGCAAAAGAAGGGTTGCAAATTGATCTTATAGAGAGAAAAAAGTATTATAAGGGATTACTATGAGCAATTGTAAGGCCAACAGATTAGATAACATAAACGAAATGGACAAATTCCTAGAAAGACAAACCACTGAAACTGACTGAATAATAGAAAATCTCACCAGACCCATAACAAATAAAGAGATTTAATTAATACTTTTTAAAAACTTCCTATGAACAGCTCAGGAACAGATGCCTTCATTGATGAATTCAATGATATGCTTAGAGAAGACCTAGACCAATCCTGCAGATTCTTCCAAAAGGTAGGTCACTTCCCAACTCATTCCATGAGGTCCATGTTACCCTGATACCAAACCAAAAAATGTTTGTAATGACAAGAGAAGAAAATGACAGACAATATTTCTTATGAATATATGTGTAACAATTCATACCAAAATACTACCAAACCAAATCCAAATATACATGCAGCAATCCACACCAAAATACTACCAAAGCATATCAAACAATATATAAAAATAATTACGCACCATGACCAAGTTGGATTTATTCTAGGAATACAAGAATGTGTTGAGTTCAACATACTAAAATCAATGTAATACACCAAATTAATAGAATAAAAAACCCCAAAACTACATGATTACCTGAATAGACTCAGAAAAAGCACTTAACAAAATTTAACACATATCATACTCAACAAACTAGGTATAGAAGTGAACTTCCTCAGCTTGATAAAGGGCATCTACAAAGAGCCCACAGCTATCATCATAATTAGTGGTGAAAGACTAAAACCTTTCACCCTAAGATCAGGAATAAGGCAAGAACATCAGCTCTCACCACTTCTATTCAACATCATACTAGAGGTTTGAGTCAGGGCAGTTAGGCAAGAGAAAGAAAGCTATTCAGGTTGTAAAGGAAGAAGTATTGATAACTCTCTACTCATAGATGACATGATCTTATATATAGAAAACCTCAGGGAATCCACATGAAAACGATTAGAGCTAATAAATTAGTTCAGGAAGGCACAGAATCCAAGATCAATATACAAAAATCAATTGTATATCTATCCACTAGCAATGAACAATCTGAAAATGAAATTAAGAAACAGTTCCATTTACAGCAACGTCAAAAAGCACAAAACAATACGTGCAATGGAATATTAGCCTTAAAAAGGAAGAAAATTCTGACAAATGCTACAACATGGATGAACCTTGAGGACATTATGCTAAATGAAATAAGCCAGTCACAAGAAACCAAGTACTGTATGACTCCACTTATACACAGTACCAACTGTAGTCAAATTCATACACAGAAAGTAAGATGGTGGTTGTCAGGGGCTAGGGGGTGGGGAGAATGAGGAGTTGTTTAATGGGTATAGAGATTTGCATGACGAAAATTGTTCTGGAGGTTGGTTGCACAACAATGTGAATGCATTTAATGCTACTGTACTACACACTGAAAAATGGTGAAGATGGTAAATTTTATGTTATATGTATTTTAATATAATTAAAAATAAAAGAACAAAATACTGAGGAATAAACTTAACAAAAGAAGTGCAATGTACGTACACAGAAAACTACAAACGTTGAAAGAAATTGAAGATTTAAATACATAGAAAGACATTCTCTGTTCATGGATTAGAAGTCTTAATTTTGTTATGATGACACTTCTCACCAAATTGATCTACAGATTTAGTACAATCCCTATTAAAAGTCCAGCTCTCCTTTTTGGGTAGAAATTGACAAGGTGATTCTAAAATTCATATAGAAATGCAAGAGACCTAGAATAGCAAAAACAATCTTGAAAAAGAATAACAAAGTTGGAAGACTTACAGCTTCTGATTTGAAAACTTACTAAAAAGCTACAGTAATCAAAACAGTGTGTTACTGGCATAAGAATAGACATGTAGATCAATGGAATAGAGTTGAGAGGCCAGAAATAAACCCTTATGGTATATGTCAGTTGATTTTTGACAAGGATGCCTAGACAGTTTAATTGAGGAAGAATAGTCTTTTAAACAAATGGTGGTAGGATAACTGGATATCTACATGCAAAAGAATGAAGTTGAACCCCTACTTCACACCATACACAAAAGTTAATTCAAAATGGATCACAGACCTAAATATGAGAGCTAAAATTATAAAACTCGTAGAAGAAAACATAGGCATATATCTCTATGACCTAAGCAGTGGTTTCTTAGATATGACACCCAAAACACATGTGACAAAAATACAATAAATTGGACTTCATTAAAAGTAAAAACTTTTGTGCATCAAAGGACACTCTCAAGGGAATGAAAAGACAACTGGTAAATTGTGAGAAAATATTTGCAGATCATATATCTGATAAGAGACTAGTATTCAGAATATATACAAAGAATTCTTAATACTGTTCAAAAAAGACAACCCAATTTAAAAAATAAGCAAAAAACTTGAATAGACATTTCTCCACAGAAAATATACAAGGAACAAGAAGCACATGAGAAGATGCTAAATATCATTAGTCATCTTGGAATTGCATGTTAAAACCCTGAGATTCTACTTCACACCTCTAGAATGGCAATAATAATAATTAATAAAGAGAAAATTACTTGGAGAGGATGTGGAGAAATTGAAACCCTCATATATTGCTGGTGGGAATGTAAACTGGTGACGCTTACGTGGAAAATAGTTTTCCAGGTCCTCAAAATGTTAAACATAGAATTATCATACAATCAGCAACTCCACTCCTAGGCATGTACCCAAGACAGTTGAAAACATATGTTCACACGAAAGCTTGTACATGACTATTCACAGCATCATTCCAAAATAGCCAAAAAGTGGAAGCAACTCAAATGTTCATCAGTGGTTGCATGGATAAACAAAATGTGACAAATCCATATAATGGGATATTATTCAACCATAAAAGGAAAGAGATACTCATACATGACTCTTAAAAATATGCCAAGTGAAGGAAGCTAGACAAAAAACGTGACATATTTGTATGATTCCATGTATTTGAAATTTCCAGAATAGGCAAATTCATAGAGCCAGAAAGTAGATTACTAGTTCCTAGAGGTGGGGAGGAGCTGGGGAGGGGGTAATAGGATGGGATTTTAATAGGTATGGGATTTCTCTTTACGGTGTTGAAAACGTTCTGAATTTAGGTAGTGGTGATGGTTGCACAATTTTGTGAATATTCTAGAAAACATAGAATTGTACACTTTAAAAGGGTAACTTCTATGGCATGTTAACTATATATCAAGTTTTAAAACTAACAGACTACCCCTAGAGGGTAATCATATTTATTTGAGAAAACCTTTTTCCATATTAGGTTTGTAGGTTTGTTGGTTGATAGGTTTCTGTTCTGGGAAAGGAGTATGTGGGGAAACCACCTATGATAATCGGCCAGGTTGCTGGGAGTTATGTCCAGCGCTATCTCAAACTGCACTGCAGAGGAGACTGGCCATCACAGGGGGTTCTTGGTAGTGACTGGAATTTTTATCTCAGGGTTTTAATAGGAGGTTTTGGTAGGAAGTGAGGTGTTTTTTAAACTGCAAGTCTCAACCTATCAGTGGATCATGAAATCAATTCCAGTTGTTGTTTTTATGAAATCAAATGAAATTTTAAAAATCAGAATGCATTGCCTAGGGAAAGCATCGTTTCATCATCATTTTGTTTCAGATACACAGATTTACATATATTGTATCACAATATAAAATGTACTTCTTACTGTGGATCATAGTAAAACAACTTTAAGAAACACCAATCTAGTAGAAAGAACACTAATGATTATGGGAAAAGATGTTCCTAAGATAGAAACAATAAATATAATTGATTGAAGGTTGATTATAGCAATGAAGAATGCAGTTATTGTTCCTCCAGTGATTATAATATTTCATGTTCCATTTGCATATAGGCCCTTCAGTGATTACTTAAGAGATTCTCTTCAAATCTCTGATCCTTCTCCCCGGATATTACAACTCGCAATAGCCAAAGTCACAAATCCAAACTATGTTCCTCCAAAAAGCGTAAGTGGGTCCATGTGAAAGAAACAGTTCCTGATGCACTTTGTAACATGTAGCATGTTTGTAACTGTAATGTGCTCCCCTCTTATTTCTAGGTGTGTATTTTCCTTTTCTTCATGTTTATTTTCCCCTCTTATCAAATGAATTTTTCTGACTATCTGCCCTGTGCCTAATGTATCAGTCAGGATTTGATGAGAGAAGCAGAACCACAATGCATATTATAGAATTAACCTTAAGCAATTGTGGGAGCTGATGAGAAGTCTATGGAAGACTGTTACAGCAGCTGGGACTTGGGTCTGGTCATAGATCTAGAAGAAATGAGAGAGACTAGGGGTAGTTCAGCAGTCCCCTAGAAGATATTTACTTCAGGAGAGGCAATTACAGGAGAGTCTTGCCTGTTCAGACAAGGGAGGAAGGGCTGATTCTATTGGTAAGGAAGGCTCAGGTATGTTCAGGGTTTCAAAGTCCCCCCTTCATTGGAATGTGCCCTTATGTTCCGATTCCAATTTTTAAGGTCCAATTCCTTCTCAATCATTGCCCTAACTTTAATATAGGAGACCATATAAGTTTGGGAATTCAATTTGTGCTGTAATTCACCCACTCACAGAATTAGATTTTGGGCTTGGTTTTGAGAATTTTCAGTCCTGTGACCATTAAAGATAAGGGTTTATTTTGGGTAAGTCACAAAAACTTTCTGGTCCCTTAACTATGCCTTAAGGTGGGAATTTAAAGGCCTGAGCTGGTCATTTCTTTCCTCAAGTTCTCCAGTGCACTTAGAAGCAATGAGCCAACCTCTCTATACCTCTTTATTTCACTAAAATGATCTCTGTCAGGCAGCTGCTTGATTACCAAATCTTGCTTTCTGTTTTGTCAGTGCATGCCACGGATTACCAGTGTCTTTTTTTTTTTGTTAAACGACTGGCAATAGGATCATTAATAGCTTTAAATCTAATCTGCTCAGAAAACAAATTCCAGATGGTCTAGAACCAGCACAGGTATACCTCAGAGATATTTTGGGTTCAGTTCTAGACCACCCCAATAAAGCAAGTCACACAAACTTTTTGCTTTCCCAGTGCATATAAAGGTTATGTTTACACTACTGTAGTCTATTAAATGTGCAATAGCATTATGTCTAAAAAAACAATGTACACACCTTAGTTAAAAAAATACTGCTAAAAAATCTTAGCCATCATCTGAGCTTTCAGTGAGTTGTAATCTTTTTGCAATAGTAATGTCAAAGGTCACTGATCATATATCAGCATAATATAATAAAAATGTAAAAGTTTGAAATATTGTGAGAATATTTCTGACACAGAGATACAAAGTGAGCAAATGCTGTTGGGGAAATGGTGCCGATAGACTTGCTTGATGCAGGGTTGCTTCAATTTGTGAAAAACGCAGTATCTGCAAAGTACAATAAAACACAGTATGCCTGAACAAAGGACCCATCCTTAAAGTTCTGATCTGGTTATCTGTTGCTTTATACCAAACCACCCCCAAACTTAGTGATTTTAAGCAACAGCCAGGGGGGAGGAGTCAAGATGGCGGTGTGGGAAGCTGCGGAGTTAGCTCTCCCCACAACTAGGGCACCTGCTGGCCGCTGGTGGGGGACTCTAACCACCAAGGAGACGGGAGGAAACCCAGAGTGAACCAGTAGGATGTAGGGGGACTGAGGGAGGAGAAGTGGAGGCCAGAGAAGATCGGCACTCCTGAGGCCGGGGAGATCAGGAGAGGCAGGCGGGAGGGACTCTCCGGGAAGAGTGGGAGAGGAGCAGCGGGTGATCACCTGGCCCACTGGGGCCACAGAGCCTGCTGAGCTCCCAAGCTGGTTCCCTCCCTCCAAAGCCCCATCCAGGCTGCGTGGGCCCTGGGGGCATAGGAGGGAGGCCAGGGAGATCAGGAGTGGCAGCGGGGAGGGGCCATCCAGGAGAAGTGGGAGAGGACCAGAGGGTGATTGCCCTGCTCACTGGGGCCTGGGGAGACTGCTGAGCTCCCAGGCCAGTTCCCTGCCCTCCAAGGCCCCCCCCCATTGGTCCTGAGGGCATAGGAGGGAGGCCAGGAGATCAGGAGAGGCAGGCGAGAGGGGCCCTCCTGGACCCCAGACCGGAGGAGTGGGAGAGGAGAGGAGGGAGTTTGCCCCGCCCACTCGAGCCCGGGAAGCCTGTTGGGCTCCCAGGTGAGGTCTCCTGCCCTCTGAGACCAGGCGTAGGGGGCACGCCTGGGCCCCTTCTGTTCCTTGAGCCTAAGCCCCACCCCCACAGCCCCCAGGGCCTTTTCCAGCCCTGTGGTTCCTGAGCATAGGCCCCACCCACCACCCAAAACTTGCCCTTGCTTAGGCCCCGCCCTCAACAGCCAAGGCCTTTCACCACCTTTTTTTTTTCTTTTCTTTTTAGCATTCAGCAAGTATTATTAAAATGAAGGGAAATTTATGGATGACACTTTGTAACAATCAGGAACTGTTGATTAATAAAGTTAGTTCGTTATTCTCCTGAAACCTAGGCAGCAATGAGAATTGTCAGACGGATCATTTTACTCATTATTTTTGATTAATGCACCCAGATTCTCTGACTCTGAAGGGAAAAAAAAAAAAACCTCCTCTTTTTCACTATTGTGGTACTAACATACCTTCCGGTTGTTGATTCATCTATTTTTGCATTCTTTCTAACATATCTGTTAGTTTCCTAGTCTAATTTTATGTTTTACTTTGTTATTGTTTGTTTTTTTTTTACCACCCCACGTGGCTTGCGGGATTTTTTTTTTTCGGTACGCGGACCTCTCACTGTTGTGGCCTCTCCCGTTGCGGAGCACAGGCTCCGGACGCGCAGGCTCAACCGCCATGGCTCACAGGCCCAGCCGCTCCGCGGCGTGTGGGATCTTCCCGGACCGGGGCACGAACCCGTGTCCCCTGTATCGGCAGGCGGACTCTCAACCACTGCGCCACCAGGGAAGCCCTATTTCGTAGTCTTTTAAGTTTAGTTTGGAATTTTTATTATTCTATTTATAATTCTAGCAGGTTTTTTTTTGGTTGTGTTGCGTCTTCGTTGCTGCGTGGGCTTTCTCTAGTTGCAGTGAGTGGGGGCTACTCTTCGTTGCAGTGCGCGGGCTTCTCATTGTTGTGGCTTCTCTTGTTGCAGAGCACAGGCTCTAGGCGCATGGGCTCCAGTAGTTGTGGCATGCAGGCTCTAGAACGCAGGCACAGCAGTTGTGGCACATGGGCTTAGTTGATCTGCGGCATGTGGGATCTTCCCAGACCAGGGCTCGAACCTGTGTCCACTGCATTGGCAGGCGGATTCTTAACCACTGTGCCACCAGGGAAGTTCCAATAATTCTAGCAGTGTTTTTTTTTGGTTTTTTTTTTGCGGTACGCGGGCCTCTCACTGTTGTGGCCTCTCCCGTTGCGGAGCACAGGCTCCGGACGCGCAGGCTCAGCGGCCATGGCTCACGGACCCAGCCGCTCTGTGGCATGTGAGATCTTCCCGGACCGGGGCACGAAACCGTGTCCCCTGCATGGGCAGGCAGACTCTCAACCACTGCGCCACCAGGGAAGCCCAATTCTAGCTGTTTTTGACAATGACTTTTAAGAGTCCTAAATAATGCTTGATTTGGTTTCCAAACTTAATTAAATACCTTCAAATACTTTATAAATACATTAAATTTGATTTCTTTTTAAAGTATTTTATTTCAACCATCTACATTAACAAAACCTTCTCAAATATTAAATAATTATTAAAAATCTAATACTTTAAACTTATAAATATAGTGAACCTGAAGTTTTTTAACGTTGTAAGAATTGATACTGACTAAGGTTCTTGGACTCTTTAATCAATAGAAATTGATAAGAGGCCAGATGAGAAATTCAGGTAAGGCTTTACTGGGACTCGTGCTATAGCAGGAGGGAGGGAAAACAAGTAACACATGCCCTTGCTCACTCCCTGAGAGGAGGCAAGCTGGTCCCTTAAACAGGGTGAAGATAGGGGCCAATAGGTGGATCGGGCTGGGGGGTGGCATACGTGGTGGGCCCACCCTCTTGGTGGTGCTGGGTACAGGGATCATGCATAGTACCCTACTTTTTCTCCTGGTACCTCAAAAGTGGCAGTTGGGTTTTGGCCTTTTTGTATGTTCTTATTGTTCATAATTTGCCCCAACTGCGCATGCGCGCAGTTCTTTTTAGTCCCTTTTAGTTTATTTGTATTCTGTTGCTCCAGGAGGCATTTGTCAAGGTGGAAGCACTACAGTCAAGGGTCTCAGGTCCCAGCCAGTCTCAGAATGACATAAATTTAAGATTTCAACTTAATGTCATAATTCTAAACAGTTACTCTGTTATATATTTCAAATTGCAATTGTAGTGTTATCACTCTTACAGGCCAACTTCTCTTAAAACATATACCTGCTTTTTATTTTTTATTTATTTTTATTTATTTATTTTTTTGTGTGGTACGTGGGCCTCTCACTGTTGCGGCCTCTCCCATTGCGGAGCACAGGCTCCAGACACGCAGGCCCAGCGGCCATGGCTCACGGGGCCCAGCTGCTCTGCAGCATGTGGGACCTTCCCGGACCAGGGCATGAACCCGTGTCCCCTGCATCGGCAGGCGGACTCTCAACCACTTCACCACCAGGGAAGCCCCCTGGTTTTTATTTTAATAATATACACTTATTTTTTGTTTTAACAATAATTTCAAATTTACTGAAAATCTGCAAAAGTTAAAGTCCATTGGCTTTATCATTCTCTCTCCTCCGTGGTGTGTGTGTGTGTGTATATTTAATCTTTTCCCTGAATCATTTTTGAAAGTTAATGACAGACATCATATACCCCTTTTCCTCAGTACTTCAGTGTGTGTTTCCTAACAAGAGGACATTATCTTATATAACTACCATACTGTTATCAAGATCAGGAAATTTAACATTGGTATAATACTATAACTAATCTATGGTCCCTGTTCAAATTTCATCAATTCTTGCACATATTTATTATTAAGACAAAGTATTAATTCTATGATTTTGAT